CTTTGGACTAAATCAGTAAAGGTAAGAGTAAAATTGATATCATCAGATAAACCCTGAAGTAATTCCAGCTCTCTCTCTACACACAAAAAACTATAACACACAGATAACCTCGTTCAGTTTACGTCGAAACCGTTTGATACGGATATTAAAACCGACTGAACTGATGGGAAGAGACTGAAGAAGTGACTTTCAAATCTATTTGCCACCTTTCGCTTTTATACTCAATGCTCACGGACCTGAAGCCACAAATACATGGTACCTCGAATGGAGAATCAGCGTAAAAACTTATGAACATTGAAATAAGTAGAACGCTGAGCACTTCTCGATTTTGCCGTACTTCAGACAAATAACAAAATTTGTCCCTTCTCACGTTCTTGAAAAAAGTCCTTCTACGAAATGATTTTAATTCGAGGAAAGCCTCCGATCCTGAAGCTTATTTTCTTGCACAATTTCACCCTACCTGCATTGTTCAGTCAAATTAACAGCAAATGTAAAAACATTGTTGTATGGAAAATTTTTATTTTTGCCGGACTAATTTACTCAATTGCATTCATAGCCGGGTTGCCGTTGCTTGGAGGTAAACCAACATGTCTGACAGAGATCGCTTGATTGCTAACCCAGGAAGGATCGAACTCGAACGGGTGCACACCAAACGAGTTGAGGTTAAAGATGTTGGTGTCCCCGTTAAAGTCAGAAATGAAATCCACGCGTATACAAATCATTACATCAAGCAGAGCAAACGTTACTTCCCGAACGAGAAGTTGCCCATTTACATCAATTGTCCGCATTTTTTAAGAATCACCCCAATCCCGGGTGGTTTTAGCGTCTTTGGAGGCATTGTTGTTTATGGTGTATCTAAGGCCGTACCTGCGTTCTTTCTCGTTGCCTGCCTGCTGCTCTTCATGATTTTCTGCCAACACGAGTGGGTGAATCAGAAAACTCTGCCTATTGTTCACAAACAGCCCTTCTTCGATGATCAGAAAGGCCCTAACGAATTCTACGAGGTGACCATCACTGAACTTGATGGAATTGCTCTCCAAAATTACCAAGCTGGGATTGGTTTTGTTAAACTTTCACAGGAAACGATCCAAATTCAGGCATTCAACAAGAGAGCGAAGAAACATATGTCCGACGCCAAGTGTCAGTCACGAGTATTGCTGCTCGCTTACTTGGTGGCTTCTATTTACAACTGCTACTTTGTGGTAGCCCATTGACTGACCAGCCCGCTGTACAGACGGATATCATGTTATGCAGATGGTAAAAAACAGTAGTTTACATGGAGTTCACTGTTGCAATCCCTGATTTGTAGTTATGAGTAACCACAGAAATAAATCAACAGATTTCCATCGAGTCGTATTGAAAAGCTTTCATTACCAAAACATAACGTGCATAAACGCTTGCAGGGTTTGAGAAATTTGTCATTAACCTCCGAAAACAGTTCAGTATATTTCAACTCTTGTTTATAAGAATTTGGTGGATTGATTGAATTTTCAACAACTCTTCTAATTATCCAACATGAAAACTGCATGACAACAAACTCAAGTACTGACCTCTTAGACTAACAACAAATTTATGCGGCTGACTGGTTATTAATAAGCAAGGCTCAAGTGCATGGATATCTAGAAGAAAGTGACTATAAAGCTAGCAATATCCATTGAGCCTTAAAGAGCTGCCTGGAGTAAATGTCGAGGGAAAAGGAGAGCTTACCAGGTTTGCTATCTGTCTTAAATCCCCTCAGACAAAGCAGAGAGAAAATATGTGAAATAGTTGGCATCCATCCTCCTTTCCACTCGCTATTATTATACCATGCGTTTCTTGGAGTCAGGTTTCCATGACAATTGGAACAATCCGTTTTCCCGGAAAGACCGATCTTTATTTTACCACTCACGATCGCGAAGTAATAGCGATTATTCGAAGGTCTGTTCATAAATTGTCTTTGTATGTCCACAATTTTCAGCCTTTCGTACAACACTAAAGGTATAGTTCGCTTAACGAGTAACAATCAACTCTTGTCGATACCGTGACGAGTTTTTCTTGGCTAAGGAACAGTTCTTACCAGTGTGACAATGTCTGTGTTATGGGCGGCTGAACTTCTTCGCTACAGGCAAACAAGAATAGACAGTGTTGGCCATAAAGTGAATATTCCTCGCGCCTCTGTGCATCGTTTCACAAACATCTTCATAGAGAGCAAGCGCTTTATGCCTCAAGCATATCTACCAATTTACCGCGGTGTACCCTTGTGGTTTTTAATTGTTGTGGCTGTGTTTAGTTTTGGTGGCGCTGGTTCGCTCCCTTCCGCCGTGGTGTTCCTGTTCTTTGGTTTTCCATTTATTGGTTTCTACTTGCAAAACGAAATGGTTAACAGAAAATCACTTCCACTCGTCAAGAAACAACCAGTGAAGAATGATCTGCAAACACTCAACAGTTTGTACGAAGTAACTGTCGCAGAACTCGAAATGATGGCCCTTTCCAGTTACGATATAGAAATTGGCTTCCTGAAGACAAATTTAGGAAGAGTCAGCTTCCAAGTTTTTCACCCTGCAGCTTTTCAGATCATGGATAAGGCCAAAAGTTTCTCACGTATCCTGCTCGGCGTCTTCCTGTTTCTCGCAGTGTACAACACCATATTTACTTTTCTTTACTCTTTTAAAATCTTGAAAGATTAAATCATCTACGACGAGTGGCCCATTGTCTCTGAAGATGGCTGTGCAGTCGAGGACACAAACTTGCGGCAAAAACTCTGATGGATATAATTATATAATCATCAACAACTATCATAAACTGAACCAGATAGAGGCTTTTAAATATTTTCACTTTTAACTATTTCTGTGGATATCTTGTAGAAAATCCCATGCAAATCCTTATAAATATACAAATTGTGTTCCTTGTGTGGTTGTCAAAGAGAGCTTGGGCCGCCTGTGGACAGAAGTGTTTGGCCTTGTCTTCTCTTTATGTGGTAGAAAACCAGGATTAAAAAAAACCGCTTAAATCAAATGAAATCGGTAAAATAACGACACCAAGAGCAAACAACACACGTATGAAACAAGGTAAATCATTTTTATTTAATATTTTCAATTTTAACTATCTCTGTGGACATCTTATAGAAAATCCCATACAAATCCTTATAAATATGCAAATTGTGTTTCTTGTGTGGTTCCCAAAGAGAGCTTGGGCCGCCTCTGCTTCCTCTTTCTTGCTTGCCATTTTTTGAAATTGCTTCGTTTGCTAAAAATGGCGACATGCAGCTTCTCCGAGCTCGTTGGTGGTTCTTGTTGTTCCCGCAAGACCAGTGGAGAAAGTAAATGCATAGTCATAACTAAGTGCATAACAGACATCCAAAGTCATTTTACAAGATATAAATGCTATGATGCTCAGCTGGAAAGCGAGTTCATTCTTCTTTTCGCCAGAGCAGGTAAATATCTCAATTCTCATTATCAAAAATGTCAAGAGTGTTTAGCCAAGGCAAATAATGAATCCCTCTTTGTCCTGCTTTTATATTTTGCACTAAGATCAATGAGGTCATATCGTGACACGGTTCAATGCTCTGGATTTTATCATTGCTTTAAGACTTATTTCTTGAATCCACGTAAACGCTTGAATCCAAGACAACAGAATGCCAGTCAGCCTTATATGTCTTTATGAAATATAAAGCCTCGATCATACAGACGACTTCGGGACT